TCACCTCCCTTCTAACCACCTCCCAGCTCTCAAGGAGGAATCTCATGGAGAAATTGTCGGGACCCCGGGCTTTATCCCTATTACAACTCCTCAAAGCCTTCAATACTTCCTCTTCAAAGAAGGACTCCAAGCTGATGCATTCCTCTCCAGAAATAGAGTCAAACTGAAGCCCCCCAAGCAAAGGTCTCCAACAAGAGGTTTTTGTGAAAAACTTCTGGTAAAAAGCAACAATCCCTCTGCAAACCTACTATTCTTTCCAAAGCAACTCCCCTTCTACCCTTATCCTCCCAATATGATTACCCCTTCTATGAGCATTGACAAGACGATGAAAAATCTTCGTATTATTGTCAACCTCTTTTAGCCACAAGGCTCTAGACTTTTGCCTCCACGAAATCTCTTCCATAATAGCAATCTCAACTATCTCTGCTTGGCACTCCAACCTCCTGTTCCTCAAGGACTCCTCCAGGTCCCCTGCCCCTCCTTTTGATCGATTTCTGCAATCTTGGAGAAAGCTCGATTCTTCCTCCATTCCAAATTTCCAAAAACCTCTCTGTTCCATTTCTTGAAGTCTTTTTTTAATAGCCTCAATTTACCCGCAAGAATATAACTTGGAGTGCCAACCAGCCCATACCCCTCCCACCAAGAGCGTAGCCTGTCACTGAAATTTTCTGCAAGAAGCCACATATTCTCAAATCTAAAGGGAGATCGTTTACTCCGCGTCCCACCACAATCCACAAGGGAATATGGTCGGAGGTAGGACGAGCCAACACCGCCTGAACCACAACTGGAAACTTCTCCTCCCAATCCCCGGATACAAGGAATATGTCCAAGCAAGAGAGAGTAGGAGACAATTTGCCACTGGACTAAATGAATGAGGCTCCTTCCAAAGGCAAATCAATCAACTGAAAATCATTAATAAAGACTGAGAACTGCTCCATATCGGCATATCCGAAGTCCACCGTCCCCCGTTGACCTTTCTAAGGGAGAGCACACAACATCAAAGTCCCCTCCAACACACCAAGGCAAGAACCATCTCCTCCTAAAAGAGCCGAGCTCCTCCCAAAACAGATGACGCACATTATCCTATGTTGGGCCATAAACATCCGAAAAAACCCATTGGAAGCCATCCTCCTCCAAAGAGAAGACACACGACAATGAGAACCTTCCTTCCCAAGAATCCACCAAACAAACCCATCTTCTGTCCCACAAAACAAGAATACCCCCGAAAGAAAACAAATATTTTGCCATATACATGGCTAAAAGAGGTATTGCATTAATTCTTATTGGTAAACAAATCTTTCAATGACAAACCCAATTCGAATCAACAAGCGCCTTCGTTTCCAACCTTGACCCCATTTGCAAACACCCCATTCAACAAAAGCCTAACCTAGAAAACCTCCTTGCAAGGTTGTTCTCAAGGAAAGGCGATGCCAATCATCGGAAGGAAGGAACCTTTCTATGAATCACTTTGCCCTCAAAATTCTCTCTCTAAATACAAAGATGCTGCTTCGGATTGTTGATGTGGAGTCCCTTTCCGGTGTTTGACAGGGAGGCACTGGGAGGTCTTATGATATTAATTACTCAAGGAAGAACCAGCTCCTAGATCTCAACTCTATATTCATGAAATCTTTTCTGGAACAATTAATATCATAAGACCTCCTAATGCCTCCCTGTCAAACACCGGAAAGGGACTCCACATCAACCTGCAGAGAGTGAATCCGAAGCAGCATCTTTGTATTTAGAGACAGAATTTTGAAGGCAGAGTGATTCGAGAGGGTTCCTTCCAATGATTGGCATCGCCTTTCCTTGAGAACCACCTTGCAAGGAGGTTTTCTAGGGTTAGGGTTTTGTTGAATGGGGTGTTTGCAAATGGGGTCAAGGTTGGAAATGAAGGTGCTTGTCGATTAAAGATTTGTTTACCAATACATATTAATACAATACCACTTCTGTCCGCCCCGCCCCATTGCCATTCCTACTTCTGTCCCACTTTTATATCACTCTTTTTAAAGTAATAATATAGTGAATTTGAATGATTGGATATGTTTTTTTGGGTGCATGTCCAACCAAAAGTGTTGAACACATATCTCATATCCATGTCCAAGTAATATGTGTTCAACACGTGTACTTTACCTAATTTTGAAGAGTCCATTTAAATAGTAGAGGAGGAGAAGAAGGAGAGAAAGACTGAAAAGGAGAATTTGATAATTGTAGGGCTTCTAAACCTCCTCTCCTATTTATATTTGACAGAGTTTGTCTTAGTTTGGTACTTTTGTTAACAGTGTTGTTTTCTTTGGGGCATTATTGAAATTTGTTAATTTTTTTAAGATATAATAAAAGGGGAGGCGTAGAAACCCTACATCCATCATATTCTATTCCTTAATCCCTCATCTTCCTCTTCTTTTCTTCTTCTCCTTGCTATCACTATAAACGCATATGCACAAATTTCAACTTGGTATCAGAGCTTGCAAATTGAAGCCAATACCTTAGTGTCTTCATCAGGACTAGTTGACAATAGCACCCAAAGGCTGACATCATGCTGAAATCAGCATTTGCAGGTCAAGAAACACATGGACTGACTCGCCTGAATTTTTTGGAAATTATGGTGCTGTTTTTTATTCATGCTGAAGTCTGATTAGAGTTTTCCATTTTCGAATGTCTTTCAGAGTTCGGCCCAGATTTTTTTGAGCTGTTGTTTGGGGTAATTTTGGTTGCTTTTGTTGTTTGAAACCCATCCTAGTTGGTGCATATAGTGTGGAAAAGGGGTTGTGCACTGTTTGTTGGTTGATTAATTGCATTTTGGAAATTTTATTGGCTCATCGGTGGTCGGTCAAGGCAGACAACCTGAATTTTTTGGCTGCTGGAGCTATATCTTTTGGCTGCTGGAGACAAATCTGACCCCTATTATGCTTCTAAAGCTTCCGAAATTTGTTTGGATGCTTGTTTCTTTCAGGATCTGACCTTGAACTCAACATTTAACCTTCATTCAACTTACTTTCTAGTATTTCAATGTTTTTGCCTCAGAATTTTAGAAGCAAGTCCTGTTTCTGGTTTCACATCGATTTTGGTCATCTATTTTTTGGTTCAATTTTCATCACCCATGGCTGACGATAAACCAAAGACCATCAAGGATAATGATATGCCTAAGTCGATTACTACGAAGAAGCTGAATGGTGTTAACCATCTTGCTTGGGCACACGCCGTTCATGATGTCTCTCCTTTTCTGCTCACGCCTTGTGTATTTGGTTGAGTTGCATTTGTTCACATCTCAGACCCAATGACGCAAAATTACAGTATTGCCCTTAACAAACAAAATAAATTCTATCAACTCTAACAAGTAATAATGATGACACCATATCAAACCAAAAATACCAAAAACAAAGGCAAACAACAAAATTTGATATCGTTAACAAAAATGGAGATCAACGTATTGAATTCAAATCTGTAAATAACAGAATTATATGACTTACCAATCTAAGCAACGCATTATGTTTTGAGCATGTTCCATAACTGCAGAGTTAGTATCTCCATGGAGTAGTGTCAAGACCTTTGCAATGTCATCTAATACACTTTTATTTGTGAGAACAGGCAACAAGATAATGAAAATCAATGGAAAGTGCAAGAAATCACTGTTTATAATCTTATTTATCTGTTTCTTTGTTTATGTCACTTTCTTTTTCTTTTTCTAAATCCATGGTCAAATAGCATTCAGTATCAGGTCCATATATGACAATAGTAACATGAAACTTTAGTTGCATAGTTAGTTGAAGGTCAACAATTAGGTTAGTCAAACCCACAAAATCTGTAGAACTAAATCAAAAAAGCCTGCCGACAGGCAGAAGATCAGTAACTAATTTTGCTCTCAGTTACTGATGACGGGGTAAAAGCAAATGTTGAAGTATAAATGTTCGGGAAAAAATAATTTGTATCCCATCCTGCCCGCTGTGGCACCACATCATGATGACTAAAAGGAAGCATGTAGTAAACTCCTAGATAACCAGTATTAACTCCCTCTACAGCCACAATTGGGTACAGGAAAATTCGCCTAATTGAATGGTCTTTTACCCATATAAGTATCTTTTTAATCTTCAACATTTAATATAAAAGAAAAACAAAAGATTAAATTGCTTAAAGGATAAAAGAAATAAGAACCATGACAAACAAACATTCACACAGCATGTCTGCAGGTTTTGAATTAACCAAGGAAGACCAAATTTAAGGAAAACGCTCCACAAATAATAAGAAATATATTGGATGTTGAAAAGAATCTTTAAATTTTTTAACCAATCTAAGGCACTCCATGTGAGAATTGGGGAGGGGGGATGAATATTCGAAGGCTTTTCTACACTCCTATCATTCTTGTGCAGTCCTACTTGATATCCTCCACTGTGGCAACCACATTCCAGGAGTTAGCTAATGTTGGAAAAGAGCTACTAAAGAAGATGGTGAGTTGAAATCAGAGATATTGGAATGAATAGAAGAGATAAATTTAACACAGCCATTACTTTTGAGACTTGGGGAAGATAAGGTAATAGCTTCAAAACATAAATAATAAACTACTTCATTTTTCATGCCTTTTATTGGTATTCTGGTGTGCAACTAGTATTTCAGCTGCAAATTCAAGAAAATGAAACATTAATAAAAACAACATTATCGAAAATCAGCAACCCCAAGCCTCATCCATCCATTTTCAGAGGTTTAGTAACTCTTAACAATATAGAGGACATAGCTCAAGGCTCAGTCCAACCAGGACTTCTCATGATTAACTTTTAATCTGGATTGAACTTCAAAAAGTAAGAGGAGAACTACCAAAACCATTTTTGCTGCATCGGCTATATGCCTTGAGATAGTAAATCTGGCATTAGTAAGAAGGATGTAATGGATGCAACAAAAGGTTGAAGCAAAACCAATGTCACTCAGTAGTCTTTCCAACAACAGGAACGGCTCAAGGAGATAATAAACCAGTTAAAAGACGCAGGGATTGGGGGGAGGGGGAATAAAAATCATTGCCAAAAAATATACAATTAATTTAACTACGTCAAAAGCATTAGAGAAGATGGTCAGTTACTCTACATTATTTATTGCTACAAGCTTACAGATAACTACTACTACAACATCGACAAAAACAGTCTTACTTCACTAGGTAGCCTTAACCTTATCGTCCCCCACAACGGAGAGTATCGGAAGACTACTCAGGAATTCATCAAGACCTTCAAAAAATCCAATGCCATCTTCCTCCCCATTTCCTGCTCCATGCCCTTCACTCATTCCTGGGACAGGCTCTTCTACCTCATTACTAAATTCCACATTCAAATCCAGCTTCCCCATTTCCTTTGCAACTTTTCCAGTTCTCTTCGAACTACTCCCTGCTTTCTTACTCACCTCAATGTTTGACACATTTGGCACACTCATACCCTCTTCCATCACAGACCCACCTTGCAAATTTTCGCTGCTACCCCCTTTAACACTCTTTCCTTTCTCAACTTGCTGTTTCTTAACATTTCTACCAGCCAAACCCTTCCCCTTCACATCCTTTGCTTTCCTCTTCTTTCTAGTACTACCCCAATCATCATCATCAGAATCCTCACTTGATTCCAATACTTGCACAAAATCTTCATCATCATCATCTATATAAATCCTAGGAGCCGAGCTCTTCTGCGAGCTCACATTCTTCGGCTTCTTTGCTGTAGCACTCACATTTTCCTCCACAACATTCACATTTCCTTCCCCAACTCGAGGACAATTAAACATGGGCGAAAAAGGCGCCCAATTAGAACCCCCACCCTTATTTTTCCCCAAATTTGACATTGACAAACCTAGCGGGAAAAAACCCCAACAACAGAAATATGATTCTTTCCCCTGGGAAATCGGTGGCGGCGACGGAATCATCACGGCATGAAATGCCCTCCTACAATTCTGACACCGGAGAGTACACTCCTCATAAACCCTAGGATATTCATACATATTATAACAATAAGGGCATGCAGTCCAAAAACTCGAAACTTCATCATATATGTTATGCATTTCCGAATCCTCATTCACAATTTTCTCCCTATTACTCACATTGCTATTCCTAGCGCTTCGCCTAATGCTCTGTTCTTGCTGATTATGGTGTTGTTGTTGTTCCTGGTGTTCTTGTCCACGGCTCGAACCGATCGATGTACTCGGATCGAGCTTCGAGAACAAATTGAGCTCATTGTCGTACAGAGATTTTTTGGAGGGGTTGGAGAGGACTGACCAGGCGTCGGAGACGAGCTGGAAGGCTTCGTCGGCGAAGGCGAGCTTGTTCTTGCTAGGGTTTAGCAGGAGGGCGAGTCGGCGGTACTGAGTCGCGATGAGTTCCGAGTCGCGAGTATGGCAGACGAGTTGGAGGATCGCGTACCAGTCGCGCTGGTTGTTGATCCGCTTGTCGCCGGCGAGGAGTGTGTCGATGACGGCGAGGATCCGGTCGGCGGGTTCGAGTCTCGGGTCGGACTCCCGGGCTCGAATGGCAAATGTCTTGCTCCCGAGGAGGTCGCGGGACGTGAGGAGCTTCTCGGCGATGACGAGCCACCGCTCGGCCTCCGTTCTGCTGCCGTAAGGTTCCATTTTCTCTCTCTAAAACATACAGTCACCCTCTCTCTAAAACATACACTCACTCACTCTCTCTCTCTAAAAACTCCCTTCGCTGTTTTGTTTTGTCGAACACGATGGCGTACGCAGAGAAGGGAGGGTGTACTACGTTTTATTGGACAAAAAAGTACTACCTTTTAGCTGAAAAGGCAAAGTTCTTAGTTTAAGTAAGGTTGACCAAGTCCTGAAGTGCGTGGGTATTGTCGTCATTTTAAGAAGCTCCATAAGTAGTAAAAATAAACTCTCTCCCTCTTCTCCACACTACTCTCAAAAAAACAGACCATCAAACCCCAACCGGTTTGAAAAAACAAAAATGACTAAATTACCCTGATATTTCACTTTATTAAAAAAAACAAAAATTTATATTTTACAAATTACAATATTATCCTCTTTGACTTTTAGGTTTCTTCCTCACCATCTCAATTCTTTATTTTCTCTCCCCATCTTGTTCATCTATTCTCAATCCATAAATCCGTGTGTGTGTAACGTGTGTGTGTGCATATATATATATATATTGATGTAATATAGTTGTTCTTGTGTTCTGTACCATTTCGTCCACCAATTCGACGGGCCTGGTCTTGGTCTTACCCTAGATTTAGGTTTCAATTCGCTGTTATCATCTCCCTCCTCTTCCCCCTCCATCGCCTCTCCTCTACCCCCACCCTCAATCCTCCCCTCTCTCTCTAAAAGAACACACACAAACACTCTCTCTCTCTCTCTATATATATATAACACTATATGTATCTAACTTGGCTCAAGTCTCGTCCTTTGAGAGTCCTCCCATTCCCAGTGCAAACTGAGAACTCCATTTTCCCCGCAATTCGGCGGCCGACGATCATGTGAGGGGGCACCATCTCTCCGTCGTTGTTGAAGGAATCGGATTCCACGCACTGAAACCACGAATCTCCGAGAACATTTTGCCTGATAATAACCGAAAGTGAACTATTCTTCTTTTTCTTGGTATTGGGTGAATTTGAATGAGCTGGGAAGTGGTAGTCATCGTGGTTGGCTGCAGCATTTTCCGAAAAAATGACCTCGGATTCTTGGAATTCTTCTCCCATGGAATAATATTTAAGTTTGGAAAGTGGGTTTTGGAGATTGAGGGATTGGTGGTCATCGTGGTTGGCTGCGGTCCGCTGTTTCTTCTCTCTCTCTTTCTTTCATTCTCTCTCTCTAAATTACTAATTAAGCTACCTAAACAGCTCATTTTCTTGTGGCTCATATATATATATATTTGGCTTTACAACTAAAAAGAATATACCGTTTCAAAAAAAAAAAAAAAAAAAAATTTATGCAATATCTCACAAAAATTTCACTGTATTAAATATTAAGGCAATTAGATTTATCATAATTATATATACTTTATTATTTGAAAATTTATACTAATCTCTCCTTTATTTTTGTAACAAATTTCTCCTTTTTTTAACACTTAACAACTTAACACCAGTTAATTTAAAATTTCAAAATATTAATTTTATTCTTTTAATACTTATGTTTATTTTAATTCTTCCTTAAAAAACAGGACAATAAATTAAGAACAAAATAGTAAAATGACTAGTTCTTTTTTCTATATATATATATTTTTTTTATGTTACAGAAGTGTAATTTTTAATTACCATATAAACAGGCAATAATTTCCATAAAGAAGAAAGTGAAATTTAGTCTCTTGTTATTAATTAATTACCAGATAAAATTTAGTGTCTTGTTATTAATTAATTACCGGATATGAATTATAGTAATAGACAAAATCTAAAATCCACGTGCCAAAAATAAGTACAATTATGGGTGGGGTATTTTCAGAATAACACATGTAAATATATATCGATTGTTTGGCATATGTTATTTAAGGGTATTTATGTTACAAAATTCACATTGGCAAAACAATTGTTAAACACGAGTTAACGGCCCCATTTGACATAATTGGGGTAAAATGACAACGTTGTAATATTGTTGAAATTTTTTCAAACTGGTGAGGGTTTAATGATCATTTTTTGAAACTAGTGGGGTTTTTTAGATTTAAATCCTAAAAATAAAAGTGCCTAAATGAGATTGTCTCATGGATCTTGGTGGGAGTTTCCTAGGAATAGCAAACCATTGGGTCGGGTTTAGCTAGCTCATACTTAGCCTCGTAAAAAATTTGTCATACCAATTCTGCCCTTACTTTAAAATAGATTTGTAATTAATATACCATCCTCGCCCTTACTATAGTAGAGAAAGTAGGCAGGGCAAATTATGCCACTTTTATTATTTAATAACAAAAACTTGACTTATTGTGATCAATTTGGACTGATAAATAAGCTGGCCAACTTTTCAATTATTAAGTAGTGAATATTAATATATTAATTGACACTTGTAGAAAAGTAACAAGGGTCTTAAAAATAAATATGATATATATATATATATATATAATTATGCCACTTTTATTATTTAATAACAAAAACTTGACTTATTGTGATCAATTTGGACTGATAAATAAGCTGGCCAACTTTTCAATTATTAAGTAGTGAATATTAATATATTAATTGACACTTGTAGAAAAGTAACAAGGGTCTTAAAAATAAATATGATATATATATATATATATATAATAAATATGATATATATATATATATATATATATATATATATATATATATATATATATCATATTTATTTTTAAGACCCTTGTTACTTTTCTACAAGTGTCAATTAATATATTAATATTCACTATATATATATATATATATATATATATATATATATCATATTTATTTTTAAGACCCTTGTTACTTTTCTACAAGTGTCAATTAATATATTAATATTCACTACTTAATAATTGAAAAGTTGGCCAGCTTATTTATCAGTCCAAATTTTTAGGGTTAATTTCAGGGTATATAATATGTATATATAATTTTTAGGGTTAATTTCAGTGATGCCCCTTCAGGTTTTGCCAAATATGAGTCTAAAACAACTTTCGAAAATTACTATCATTTAGGTCCAATTTTACTTTTCCATCACTAATGCCGTTAAAAACATATAAAAAGACAACTTTACCCTCATTTTTTAAATTCAATTTAATTCAAAATATCAACAAATTTAAAAGACAAAATTGCCCATTTATTTCTTTCTCCAAAATTAACTCTCTCCCTCTTCTCCACACTTGCACCACCTTCATCCCACCTCCACAAGGACCACAACCACTATCAAACGAATGAACCTCGTAGCACCAGCCACCACTACCATCCCACCCCCACAATCAATATGTATTAAGACAAAACAATCATTGCGTATATACTTTACAATATATATATATATGCATATGATATATATATATATACACATGCATATATATCACTATGAAGCGGAAGTCGAAGATTGGAGTATTTACAGAAACAGAAAATTCTCAAACATCTTTCCATATAGGGCTTGGCATTGACGAGCCCCTTTCTATGTGTTTAGAAAATGAACTTTTTAATGCAAGAGGTCGCTTCGCAAGGTCAAAATATGATTGTGGTTTCGGAAACTTAGAAAGTCAAATTTATATTTATAAAACCACTATTACTACTAACTAAGTATAGTGACTAGGATCGTCCGCATGGATTAAACACGTAGTTAGAATTTAACTTCAATTCTAGTAGATCACAAGATTGCAAGGAGAGATTAGTTGATTAAACTAAGGTGCAATGAAATTAAAATACAATTAAAATAAACTAATGAGATATAGGGATTTAAGATATATGAAGAGAGGTATTGGGGTGTTGGACTTACCACTAAGCTCATGTAATTAACCACTTATTTTCCATTAATGGGGAATACATTATTGTAATCTAGATGTGGCCACAAACATAAACACAATTTGCGTGTAAAAGTGTGAACTATCTAATGCAAGTGTGAATTGTTTACCTAACCAACAAGTAAACTAAGTGTAGAACAATCCACCAAGACAAAGGCATAATCCATCAATTAGTTAACAAATGCTTCTAATGAGAGCACACATCAATCTAGAGAATCATGGAATATGCAATAATAAGTGTGGAGTATCAAATCAAGAATAGATTGTCTACCTACTTACAAACATGAATTAAATTATAGAACAACCCATCAAGCATAAGTATAATCCATTAAATTAATTGACAAACTCATTCAATGAAAACCATGCTTAGCCATCACTAAATCCTTAATTAATCACACATAGACATGCAACCAACATAGAGAATCTAGTGTAGAGATCAATTCCCAAATAAACACATATAAGACGACATGTAATTAAAATAGAGAATCACTAGGAAAAATTAAATCAACAATCACAAGGCTAACCACTAATCACAACAATATATATATATAAATCCCCATAAATAGAAATACAATGGTTTAGATTACACAAGACTCATGGCTCATCCAAGCCCTAAGTGAAGAGCCTAGCCAATCATGGAGGAGGTGGATGTGGTCATGAAGCCCTCAAGGGCATGCTCCAAACATGGCTCCATCTTCTTCTTCCTCTTCTTCTTCTTCTTCTTTGAATATCTAGAGAGAGAAAGTATGTGGATCTAGAGATGTGCCTCCACTTCCCTCTTTTATTTTAACCCTAATCTCTAACTTTCTAGAGAGAGAAACTACAACAATATAGAAATTACAATGTAAAAATATGAATCTCCCTGCAAAAATGGTTCAATCCCTCTTATATACAAGGCTTTTAGAGCCCAAAAATATGAGAAATCAGGCCTAGGATCTCGCCTTTCAAGCACAGCCCGAGTTGGTTCGAAATGAGCTTCAGATCTGTTTTTTTATAACTTCTGCGAACAATTCGATCGATCTAACCAACAGTGTGATAGTTCAGAGGTATGTGATGAGCGCTAAAAAGTGCACGTTTTACCTCCTTAAGCTAAGGTATTCTAGGACCTTTATTTATCTTATTTTCCCGTTTTATTCTAATTTCGTGTTATTGCCCTTTTCAGGTACTTATCCCAAAAATAAGTCAATTCAGCCAAATAAGAGCATTAAAGAAGTTAACTCAAGCTGAATGGAAGAAAGGAGCAAAGTGGGAGCAAAATGAAGCAAAGGGTGAAAATTCAGCATGTTCGATCGATCTCAGCATATCTTTGATCGATCGAAAGTTCATCGATCTAAACAATTCAAGATGGATCCAAGCCCTTGTCCTTATCCAAAA